TTTTTTTGTTTGTTTGTTTGTTTTGACTGAGAAATTTCCTTGCGTCCCAAAAACGCACATTGTTTGGAACTGTGCGTCCTGTGGGTTAATTTTGCGTCTCGGACACGGGACGCAGAGGTAACGAGATGGCTGATCTCTAAACATTCTCTGAGTACTACTATTATTACCACTCCCACTAATACTACATTAATTAGTTTAATACCTTCAACTTCACAATAATAATAAAAAATAATTAAATCAACCATGATTTTAAACTATGTATTATCAATATTCATTATTCCAAACATGAGAAAGCATTTACCAAAAACATAACTGGAATCGAGCAAAAGGACTCCAAATCCCAACGGCCAAACCCGGAAGTGAAGTGCCGGCATTATTGACTCCAGCTGTAACGCAAATTACTTGGTTCAAACAAACATTATAGTGCCACCGCAGAAACGTGATGACTGTGCAAAAATAACTACATAAAAGACACCACTGTTCCAGAAAGACTTTACACGTTATTTAAACTGCCGATCGCGAATGGAACAAACCGTGATTGAAACTAACTGTGATGCCGCTCTTTATTCGTTGCGCTAACGGTCACCTGTCAGTGGCAGACCCGCCCCTTTTAAAGCGCCAGTGTAAACCATCAATATGCGTTTCTCTGGATGGAATTTATTTGATTTCTTCGTGGTTTTTGCGATCCTCGGTCCCATTTTATACCTGTGGACAAGTGATTCGAGGCTCTAATCCCTTATTGTGTCCGAGGACCGGCAACCCGAGGCCAAGGCCAAGGCCAAGGACTTGACTCCCAAGGCCAAGGCCAAGGCCAAGGAATTGACTTCCAAGGCCAAGGCCAAGGACCAAGGACCGACCTTCGGTCCTCGAGCCGGTCCTTGGCCTCGAGGACACATCCCTGGTCATTACTACAGTATACTAGACATTTTAGAGACCGTCATGATTCCTTCTGCTGAGAATCTGCATCGGAGATGCCTATTTAATCTTCCAGCAGGAAAGACCCCTACCCATACCACCAGAAGCACCAAAACCTGCTTTGATGCCGATGCCATCACAGTGCTTGACAGGCCAGTCAACTCACCCAACCTAACCCCCATTGAAAATGTTATGGTGCATTATCAAGAGGAAAATCCAGGCCACCAGATCCAAAACCAAAGAGGAGATCACAGGAAGCATCAAGGAAATCTGGGCTTCCATAACTCCCTGGCAATGCGACAGGCCGACTGCATCAATGCCATGGCGCACCAAGGCAGTGATTAAGGTAAAGAGATTCCCAACAAAGTATTGAAGATTCACATATCATTTTGAAAATACCATATTTCGATTGATTTAATGTGGATCTAATCTCTTTTCCTGAAAAAACTGACAAGTACATGGTGTCTTCTTCACAGTTGTCACATTTTTTGAATTCCTGTTTTTAGGAGTTTGGCGAGCTGAAAGCCCAAATTCAGAAAAAAATAAATGAATTCTTGAAATCATTTCAATTGTGGAATCTGAATCCATAGTCTATGGAAGTTCAACGTTTTGAATGGAATTACAAAGATAAATCATTTACATGATCTTCAAATTTCTTGTAAAGGATGTGCATCTTTTGCAACACAGCTCCAGGAATTTTTCTGACTCACTTCATGTCCAACTAATGTACACATAAATTATAAAGTTATACTAATTTCGTGTCATTGTCAGTTAAATGCACCAATATTTTTCTACAATTTCACACCTTAGGGTTGTTGGCGTCAAATAGGCCTGTTGAGAGCCCAATCAGGAGAGCATTGTGCTGCTTGGAGCGCATCGGTGAGACTGAGCGTGAGCGGGATGCAAGAGAAGAAGAGGACTCATCCACCGAAGACTGCGCCGAGAATAGGACAAGAGCAGATGTGCGTCTGTGAGCTGGAGAGCACAACTTCATAAGCAGGGGCTCTTCTCCCTGTGATACACCTGCACAGGGATAGAGAAGAATGACAATTAGTATTTACGATATATAAAATGTCACATGAAATGCCTTTGATGGACAAACTATGACTATTAAGTGCTGCCTCACCCTCTTTCCCTGCTGCTGCTCCTTGGTTTGTATTGACCTCTGGCAGCCTGTAAAAAAACATCACTTTAAATGGTCAACAAATTAAGACTTGCGTCAAGATGGCACAGATGAGGGCGACTGCTGGTGCACCTAATCCAGGTGCTTACTGATTTACTGAATGCACAGTTGAAATCGTTCATCCAAACACTTCTCTGTCCATCAGATGGACAGAGTGAAATATTCTGCAAAAATCTAGGCTGTGTCTCATGACCAACAACAAAACCTGGTGAGACTGTAGGAACGTAGTGCCCCGCGTGCGCACGCACGCACACACGCATACTCTCCTGGGCACCTATTTTACCTCCGGTGTTAAATCCTTAATTTTATGGCAGCGGCAGCTCATCTGTGAGAACTTGCTCTCTAAACCTACAGGAGCATTGCTTGTGCGTGCAACACAAATTACACAGCGGAAGGCGAGGTGAATTTTTCCTTGAGGGATTATAATAGCAGGATATTAATTAAAAAAATATATTATGATCAACATTATATTTCACCATATCTTGAGATATATTAAGCAACTGCTGCTAGCTACCAAACTATCCATTGCAATGACGCTTTCATTGTTGCCTTGGAACTTTAACACAATTACAAACACAATTATAAACTTAAAACCACATCCATCTCTCATGCAAACACTTCCTTTCTGTGGATGAACTCAACATTTTTTATATGTGCTTTGAGAAGACCAAGGCCGCCATAAAACCTCCACATTACACTCAAAAGGGAGAACTCAAGAAGGTGAATTTCAGGAAGGCTACCAATCCGAATGGGATTAAGGGACGAATCCTCAGAACCTGTTCAGACAAAGCAGCCCCCATGTTCACAAGAATCTTCAGTATATCCCTCCCCCTAATGCGTGATTTTCACAACTGTTAGGAACGTTTCAGCATTATCCTTGTATTCCTAAAACCGAATAAAAAAAACTGTTTAAATGGCCAGAGCCGAGAGAGACAGAGACAGAGACAGACAGAGAGAGAGAGAGAGAGAGAGAGAGAGAGAGAGAGAGAGAGAGAATGAGAGAGTGAGAATGAGAGAGAGACTGCATAAACTCTATTTCTGTGTATCACAGCGTTCATACAGTGTGTGCTTTTGTTGTAAATAAACGTGAGGGCACTGCCGTGACTATTGTAGAATTTACACTGTATTGTTTCCAAAATATAGTTTCGTATAGACGGGGAGTAGGGCTTGTTTTAAGTTGGATAGCATTGCAGCAGTGCCTAAATAAGCCCACAAAATCTAATAATACATTTCACATGAATTGTCACACGTGACAGACCATTTGAACATCTTAACATAGACTAGAGCAACCACGACTATATTAGAGCTGACCTGCCTGTCTGTGATCTGCCAGAGGTGACAAAGTTAAAATGCAGTTGACTTTTTTTTTTTACATATAGTGAAACTCCTCTACAACAAAATCATGTTTGCAGCAAGAAATTTTTCACAACAGGGGGTTTTTCACTGGAGCAAATTTGATCTCAGATGTAAGCACACACACACCCACACCCACACACAAACGTATGTATACTCTATTTTTATTCCAATCGTGCATAAGTATGAGCACACAATTATTTGACACTTCATATTGTCAGTGTAGAAAGAAAAAAAGGGAAAGAAATTGCGAAATTTACGATCAGCATTCACTTTCACTTACATCAATTTCTTGGATAATGTCTTTTATTTTGCTTGCTCCGTCTTTCATTTTGATCACTTTTACCCTCTCTTCCAGCATCAGAGCTCTTCTTGTCTTAGCTGGTTGAAATCCAAATGTCCGTTTTGTAGCCATTTTAGCAATGCCATGTCCATCCTCGTCTGAATCTAACAATAACAAATACTTCCTTTTAGGCCAGCCACGGGACGCTTCGTAGTCCTTGATGGCCATAGTTAGTTCTCGAAGCGCTTCTCTCTCATTAGCGCCCCAGTTAGCATAAGGTTTTTAGCCTTCGAGAGCTAACTATGGCCATCGAGGACTACGAAATGTCCGAGTGGCTGTTTTTAGCATGATAACAAGCAAAGCATTCAAGGAAACGTTTGTTTATTTGAATGTCCGTCGAGCCATAAGCAATTTACTCTGAGCAGCTAATCGGATGCTACGGATCTAGCTTCAGTATCTACACACATAGACACTG